AGCAAACCGACCTTCCCTCTCCCCTCCCCCCCCTCTCCCCCATTTACGTCACACTCCGCCTCCCGTCACGCCGCCTCCCCGGCTCTCGCCCGGACCTCCAGTGGAAAGACAGTCCTTCCCCTAATTCCCCCACCCCCCCCCCGAACAGATTTGAAGGACTAGATTTAGTAAACAGAGTCCCAGAAGAACTATGGACAGAAGTCCGCGACATTGTTCAGGAGGCGGCAACAAAGTACGTCCCAAAGAAAAAGAAAACAAAGAAGGCAAAATGGTTGTCTGCTGAGACACTGGAAGTAGCCCAAGAAAGGAGGAAAGCAAAAGGAAACAGTGAAAAGGGGAGATATGCCCAGTTAAATGCGCAATTCCAGAGGTTAGCCAGAAGAGATAAGGAACTATTTTTAAATAAGCAATGCATGGAAGTGGAGGAAGACAAGAGAATAGGAAGGACAAGAGACCTCTTCCAGAAAATTAGAAACATTGGAGGTAAATTTCAGGCAAAAATTGGTATGATAAGAAACAAAGATGGCAGGGACCTAACAGAAGCTGAAGAGATCAAGAGAAGGTGGCGAGACTATACAGAAGATCTGTATAGGAAGGATAATAATATTGAGGATAGTGATGACGGTGTGGTGAATGAATTAGAACCAGACATCCTGAGGAGTGAAGTTGAATGGGCCTTAAGAAGCATTGCTAACAACAAGGCAGCAGGAGACGACGGGATCCCAGCTGAACTGTTTAAAATCTTAAAAGATGATGCTGTCAAGGTGATGCATGCCATATGCCAGCAAATATGGAAAACACAAGAATGGCCATCAGACTGGAAAAAATCAACTTATATCCCCATACCAAAAAAGGGAAATGCGAAAGACTGCTCAAACTTCCGTACAGTGGCCCTTATTTCACATGCCAGTAAGGTAATGCTCAAGATCCTGCAAGGAAGACTCCAGCAATACATGGAGAGAGAGTTGCCAGATGTTCAAGCTGGGTTTAGAAAAGGCAGAGGAACGAGAGACCAAATTGCCAATATCCGCTGGATAATGGAGAAAGGCAGGGAGTTTCAGAAAAACATCTACTGCTTCATTGACTATTCTAAAGCCTTTGACTGTGTGGATCATAATAAATTGTGGCAAGTTCTTGGTGGGATGGGCATCCCAAGCCACCTTGTCTCTCTCCTGAGGAATCTGTACAAGGACCAAGTAGCAACAGTAAGAACTGACCACGGAACAACAGACTGGTTCAAGATTGGGAAAGGCGTACGGCAAGGCTGCATCCTCTCACCCAACCTTTTTAACTTGTATGCAGAACACATCATGCAATGTGCGGGGCTGGATGAATGCAAAGCTGGGGTGAAAATTGCTGGAAGAAACATTAACAACCTCAGATATGCAGATGACACCACTCTGATGGCCGAAAGCGAGGAGGAGCTGAGGAGCCTTCTAATCAAGGTGAAAGAAGAAAGCGCAAAAACTGGGTTGCAGCAAAACATAAAAAAAACCAAGATTATGGCAACAAGAATGATTGACAACTGGAAAATAGAGGGAGAAACGTGGAGGCCGTGACAGACTTTGTATTTCTAGGTGCAAAGATTACTGCAGATGCAGACTGTAGCCAGGAAATCAGAAGACGCTTACTTCTTGGGAGGAGAGCAATGTCCAGTCTCGATAAAATAGTGAAGAGTAGAGACATCAGAATGGCAACAAAGATCCGCCTAGTCAAAGCCATGGTATTCCCTGTAGTAACCTACGGATGTGAGAGCTGGACCTTAGGGAAGGCTGAGCGAAGGAAGATCGATGCTTTTGAGCTGTGGTGTTGGAGGAAAGTTCGAGAGTGCCTTGGACTGCGAGAAGATCCAACCAGTCCATCCTCCAGGAAATAAAGCCCGACTGCTCACTGGAGGGAAGGATACTAGAGACAAAGTTGAAGTACTTTGGCCACATCATGAGGAGACAGGAAAGGCTAGAGAAGACAATTATGCTGGGGAAAGTGGAAGGCAAAAGGAAGAGGGGCCGACCAAGGGCAAGATGGATGGATGGCATCCTTGAAGTGACTGGACTGACCTTGAAGGAGCTGGGGGTGGTGACGGCCGACAGGGAGCTCTGGCGTGGCTTGTCCATGAGGTCACGAAGAGTCGGAGACGACTGAACGAATGAACAACAACAAAACTAGTTGATTGCAGTGAATTATTTCCAAGCTCTACTGATAAGGACACTGTCCTGTCACCAATTTCAAAGCAAGAGACAGCTCAGAGTCCTGCGTGATTTTATTTATGGAAAGAGAATGGGAATGGGCATCCCTCTGTTCTGTGCCTCAAGGAACCAAACATTTGACAGAACCCTGCCGTATGCACCAAAGACAAACAATCTATTTTATATGATGCCACTCCAAGAAATATTTTTATGAGCGTAGCAGAAGAGAATAAAGATGTATTTAGGAATAACCTATTGTGCTTGATCCTACCTAGTGCTTTTTCATCCATAGAGGATTCTGTTGCACTGGATCATTACCAAACTGCAGCTGTCTCCAGGATGGAAGCTGCTGGTGATATAAAGGAACACAGAATCGGACACAAACAAACAATGACAAATACCTCTAATCAGAGAAGAGTCAGTATCTCATTCCAGGAGCTTGTTTTCTCTTGGCACTGACCTATAATAGATCAATAATATTCTGGCACTGTTTAAACACTCTACCATGTGCCTATCAGAAGTCTGAGATTTATTCTGTACAAGCATATTTTGAATGCCTACCATAAATTGTGCCTCAATTCCCGGATGATTTAAACATACAGTGATTACTGTATGAGTCGCCGCACTGAGTCGCCGTCCAGGCTGAGATATTGCGGTATATAAGAGTTTCAAATAAATAAATAAATAAAATACTGATACTCGGTATCCTTTGTATTGTAGCATCCAATGATTTCTGTTCCTTACTGGACTGAATATACTTTGCCTGAAATCACTGTTTCAATTTTTTCTAATCTATTTCAACTTGCAGACTATGAAAGAGTGGGTCTAATGTGTCAGTTTAGAACAAGAGAGGAATGGATTAAAATCCAGTCTAACATGTTCCTTAATTAGGTTTTATTTATTTATTTATTTACTTATTTGGTATACTTATGCCCCGCCCTTCTCACCCCCGAAGGAGGACTCAGGGCAGCTTACAAACTATGGCAATAATTACAATGCCAGATACAAACAATAACAATATCAGTAAAACACAATATTATAAAACTGTAAAAAATATATACATATCAATTAAAGTTGTCTTTCAAATGATTAAAACATATCAAACATATCAAAAGTCCAGCACCAACTGAGCTTTGTAAACAATGAACCAATTGCTTTGCTGTTCTTCCATCATTCTTACAGGTCATATTAATCCCCAAAGGCTTGCTTAAATAGTCAGATCTTAAGATTCCTCCTGAAGCTTAAGAGTGAGGGGGCTGTTCTGATGTCACTGGGGAGGGAGTTCCACAGCCACAGAGCCACCACCGAGAAAGCCCTGTCTCTCGTCCCTGTCTACTGCACCTGCGATGAGGACAGGACCGACAGCAGGGCCTCCCCAGAAGATCTTAACAGTCATAACAGATATAATCTCCTGGAAAGAAGGTTGAGATATAAATAACTCATGCCATTTCTGAGAATACACATAGTTTTCATGCATTAGATGCCAGTTTTCATAACTAACAGAATTGGGGCATAATATTTCTTTGTATTTAATTTATATAATATTTTATAGTACAACCATCTGGCCTATCATTTTGATCATGTTTTCTAACTTCTGATATATTTTCAAGTGGTTTCCTATTCTTTTTAGGAGTCAATCAAGCTTCTTGCTTTAACTTTTGTTGAAAATTTTCTTGATTAACAAAGTTTTTGGAGTTTTAGTTTAATATTACTCTGTTATCCCATATATTTTGTCCATATGTACAGATTGAGAATTAAAAATGCTTAGGATCAGAAGAGATTTTGGATTTTGAAATAATCATGATCAGTGATCCCTTGTGTTCAAGTATAGGGTCTTGGCAGTGGGTCAATGGGTGACTGTAGAGACTAGGGCAGTGAGATAATTGAAATAAAAGTTTCAAAACTCATTACAAAATTAGAGGGCACTGGTTCTAAAGAGTTTCTACAGTTTTGTGTTAGCAAAAATTTCATTACTATAATGAGAGTAACAAAATTTATTACTTTTTCATTATAGTAATTGTGCAAGTAGAGAAACTTAAGGGGTTCTTTTCTCCCTCAGTTTTACAGCTATTAAGGTGACACTTGCTACAATGGTAGAATGCATTTACCATTTTTAGCCCATCAAGTTTCAGAATGTTTACTTATCCACAGATTTTTGGTGAATTTTCAAAATGTTTATAAACAACATTTTTAAAATAACTACAAGAGCTATCTCCTTGAATTTTCTACACAATGGCACAAAATAACAGGAGATCATTTCTCCAACTTTTGGAGATATTCATGCATCTGCTGATTTTAGAGTTTTCAAAAGTTTTGACAAAATTGTTTATTTTAAAGCCACAGCAGCTATTTTGTGGAATGTCTCTCATATTAACCAATAGAATTTCCATTTGGGGATTTCTTCCCAGCACAGCACAGAGATTTACTTAATGGGAATATCACTCAGTTCTCCTCTTTGCAGATTCAACAACAAGCTCACTGCTGCTATGGAGGGACAAATCTTTCCCCTATCCTGACTAGGGCTTTCTGATGCTGAGCAGAATTCTGGGAAATGTAGTTTAGGGCAGGGCCTTTTGAATTCTCTGGCATAGGGCTCCTTGACTTCCCAAACTACATTTCCCAGAATTCTGTGCTTTCTCAGTCTCTTTCCCAGTGTTTTCTCCCTGCTGCTTCCCTCTCTTCATGGTGAGAGGCCATTAATTTAAAGAGGAAAGGCATTCTTTTTGGCCTTGCTTTGCTTGCTTGAGCTGAAAATGAAAATGACTTTGGTAGGCTTCCAAGGTTTACAAAATTCAAACAAAAAAGTATTGGGTAAGTTTCAGTTCTTAAGTTTTTGACACGGTCCATGCCCATATGTCAGATATTGCATTGTAAGTACAAATTTAACAAATTTGATCTGACTTACAAGGACTAATGATAATTTTGCGCAGCCCTAGTAGAGATCTAATCTTGATCTGCATGTTCTTCTATCCGTTTCCAGATAGGAGGCTGTCTGGACAAGGGTTGGCTTGACATGCTTTCCTCTTGACGTGTTTCTCCCTTTAACCCTCAATTCACCATTAAGCTGTATTTCTGGCATTGCAAAGGGATTGGCTGGTGCCTGCTGAAAGAGCACTTGGTTTTCCAGAAGTTCAGTGAGAGGCCAAGCTTTTTGTATGTTTCTGCAAAGGTTTTTAGAGTTGTTTATTATGAATGAGCAGAGACTATATTATCATCAGCATATTGAAGTCTGCTGAGGTTAAATAGTATGCCATCTGTCTGATAGATGATTTCCACACTGGTGGGTAGATTTCCATCAACAAGGTACAGTACCATAGTGATGAAAGTGGAGAATAAGTTTGGGACACGAACACATCCCTGTTTGACACCTGATTCCACCTTAAATGTGTCATTTTGGGAGCCACTGATGTCCAAGATTATTGCCATAATGACATCATGGAGCAGCTGCAGGATGTTCATGAATTTGTCAGAGCATCCAATTTTTTTGGAGGATGGTCAAGAGAGCCCTGCGATTCACTGTGTCAAATGCCTTTACAAGGCCAATGAATGACATGTACAGAGATTGATTTTGTTGCCTGCATTTTTCTTGGAGCTGTCATACAGTGAAGATCATGTCCACTGTTCCTCTGGAGGGGTGGAAGCCATTCTGGGATTCTGGAAGGATGTCTTCTGGGATAGACTGAAGGCAGTTTGCAAGGATTCTGGCAAGAGTTTCCCAACAGAAGTTAGAAGTGAGATACTTAGATATTTTCCACAGTCTGTTCTTTCCCCCTATTTGAAAAGGATGATGATGGTGGTGTCTTTGAAGTCTGCTGGGGTTTTCTCAGTCACCCACCTGGTGGAGTTGTTGTGTCAGGTCCATCATCTTTAAAGATTTCAGTAGGTATCCCATCAGGTCCACTGACTTTGTTATTTTTTAGTTGGCCGATGGCTTTGCTGACTTCCTCCAAACTAGGCGATGCTGCAAGCTTATCCCTGTTTTGTTGTGGGATTTGCGAGATAACCTCTTTTGCCATTAAGGATGTTATGGTAGTGCTCTTTTCAATATAGTGTAATAGATTTTTTTATCCTTCAGGAGTTTGGTTCCATCTGCCGAATGGAGAGGATGTATACCATGATTTGTTAGGCCATAGATGTAGCATTAAAGAATCCCTTGCACCTTGTATACTTGTATGTGCATACACATACATACTGAGATATCTTGGAGATGAGACCTAAATCAAAACATGAAATTAATTTATGTTTCATACATACCTGATACATACCTTCATAACCTGAAAATAATTTTATACAATATTTCTAATAATTATGTCAAGAAAAAAAATTGTGTTCGTCAAACCATCAGAAAATAAAGCTTTTCTGAGCTACCCATGTGGATCATTTCAGTTTTTGGAGTATTTCATATTTCAGAATTCCAGATAAGGGATGCTCAACCTGGGTTTTAATTTATTTATTTTTTTGCATTATTGGCATATCTGGATAATTAGTTTCACAATTGTATTGCATAGTTTTATATTTGTATTGCTCCTTCCTTTTTTTATATGCCTTGGACAGGACTGGCTGTGTTTTAATATTGTTTTACTTGTGAAGTACCATTGATAGCAGTATATAAATAGATGATAATGGTAATAATACTGACCCTCCAGACCCCCCATCAACTCTAGCACAAGAGTGATAGGAAGTGAAGTCCAGCAACATTTATAATCCACGGCTTTCCTCATCTTCATTCAGAAGGAAAGCAAACTGCAGTGGGAGTTATTCCCATGTATTTGGATACTGCACAGAGATCTTAGAAACTATTTGACCATTTGCTTCTCTAGCTTAATGCTTTCTGGTTTGTCAACCAGTGGTTTTTTAGGGCTTCAGGTAGACGTGCGTTCCACTACTGTCAGGCATTTAGCCAGGGGGGAGGGGGGCTTGAGGGGTTTCCGCCCCCCCCCCCCCGAAATTCTCATGGTGGTCCGCGAGAAGGCCTTGCTGGTACATTATTTAAACTGTTACGTTTATTCATATCACGATCTGATCACCATGCTCAATATATCCCATATGCATGGGGGTATTGGGGTAACGATACAAAAGGTTTGCTAGGGTAGACCCTCTTTCACTCAGACTCAGCCAGCCCCCCCCCCCCCCGAATCAAACTCAGCCCCTCCCAAATCAAAATCCTGGCTACGGGCCTGACTACTGTTGTTTAAGAATTTTCTATCTGGAGATAGCAGGGACCGAATTTGGAATGCTCTTCTCACAGCTCTTCCTTACAGCAATGTTCATTGATACTGTACTCATGTACCAATAGATGGATATGCTCTAGAGTAGATGAAACAGACTGAAGGCTCACAGCATCTAAAAGAAGGAGCATAAAGAACAGTAAAATGGAGACAATAGATTCAACTTGCATTTGTTTCTGCAAAGAATGAGGAAATAATCTATTGTCAAATACTTGACTCCACTAAAATAAATGGTCCCTGTAGTTATTCACCTCATGAAATGTGTCCCAAGTAACTCTGTGCAGACCAAATTGCCTAATCCTACGTTATTGTAAAATAACAAAGGAGTGACTGATAAGCATGCAATATTAATTCCATGTGTGTGTACACATCTTTGTTCTGAGATTTATGTAATTTATGAAATACTAACCTGAGCAATGTACTTGTCCAAGGGAGAGGATGTAGAACCCCATCTCGCAGTGGATGCTCCATGCTGTTCTGCTGATTTTCATAATGTTTGTTTATCCATAATCTCCATGTTTAAAGAAGACAATGGTGTAGGAATGAATGTCACAGGATGTTCCTGCCTTGAATATTCAGTTTTATGGAAAATAATACTTTTCGTCACATCACGCCACTTCTTCATGATCCACATGTTGAGGAAGTCTATGAGAAGTAGAAAGTTTTCGATAGTCAAAATAAGGAAGACCTTTACTATCATAGCAAACAAAAATGGTTTAAGAAAATTTCCATGTTGTTCAACCAAAGCTTGGAACTTGCTGCAAATAATGAGTGACATGTAATTTTTTTCTAACTGGTAATAAATAACTGTCACATTATGACAGCAACATAATGAGAGATAACTTCACTCATTTTGCAATGAATGTTAACCTGTACTGATTTTAGTTACTTTCATAGTTAGGTGCTGTGGTTTGATTTCTTAGATGAGTTCCACTATACAAACTAATGGCTTGTAGCATATCACGGATTTTTAGAAAGTAACATGTAGCTACTTTTCAATAATAAAAAAGAATACCTATAATAGTAGTTGCAATATTGTGGATGTTTGAAACATTAATTGCAACTATGTACCTTTCAGAAATAATTTCAAAATTTTGAGGGTAAATGAAGCAAAATTGGAAGCTTGGTGAAAAAAATCTTTATTATGGTCATAGATCAGCATAAGAAGAGTGGGGTACAGTCTCATAAAAGCATTGTACAATAAAATCAATAAGGCCAAATTGGAAACTTGGTTATCTTGATCAAAGATTTCACATTAGAAGATAATTTTCTTTATAATCTTTGTCACCTCTTTTGCAAACTGGCAATGAGAATATTTGGAAAGATTTGTGGAAAGTTGTTTTCTCACTATTTAAAAACCACCAAATGTAAAAAAAAGTATTTTAATGATTTTTCTCAGAAAGTATGCTGGATGCTTCAAACAGGGCAATCTTACAATCACTATGCCTTAAATACAGCTTTTTAAAAAAGTTTGGACAGTTCTGTCTTTCAGTTATAAACCTCCTATTTTCCCATTTTCTTTCATCTTTTTTTCTTGCCATCTTTAACAAAGTCATTAAAGGGGCAGGTAGTTAAGTTCAAGTTAAGATGTATTACAAAAAAGGATATCCTGGTTAAACGTCATAGTTCAATTGCTTTATTAGATGACAGATTTTGAACTGTATATCTAATATATATATTTGCAAAAATCTATAATTATTCCAACATCCAATTCATCTGAGTAAATATAGCAGTGATCTGAAAAGTTTAAATGTTTTATGAAATGCTACATTTGCCTCTTTTCATTCCACTTTGTTCATGTGTATCAAGGTTCCTTGTGAAATTTTGGAGAAAGTCTCTCCACCTGGATTCCTGTCTAGAGCTGGATCTATGATGTCAAACAATGCAGTTTTAACTCTATTATATGGTTAGTGTAGACCCAGATAAGGCAGTTAAATGCAGTTCAGGCTGCATGATAAGGGTCTACACCAATGGCTCCCAGAAATATGGTCTGTGGCCTCACCATTAGTACACCATTGCCTTGAAACCATGCAGCAACGAGAGTGACTGGTCTCGCGAAACCCTCTTATAGTGCCAAGGCAACGGGGATTTTGGAAGGGGAAAGGCTGACTACCACATCAGCTCTAGATTATTAAGTATGGTTTTCTATGGGTGAGCAGAAACTGATTACTGGATGGCGTATGTTCTGTATCAGAAACTAGAGCTGATGTGGTCTATCCATTACAATTTTCTGAATCAGCACCCTAAATAACCAAATCAAATCTAAAGTTGACCAAAAACTGATTTGTAACCCTTTTGGTACTAATATTGGAGAGTGGTTCCTGGTCAAAGTGGTCCTTGGTCAAAAAAAAAAGGTTGGGAACCACTGGTTTACACTGACCATATTATATAATTCAAACTGCAGCATTTGGCAATATAGATCCAGTCAAAAATATATAGGCTTATACCAGAGGGTAATTGCAAGCTATTACAATTTGCTATATTGTGTATTACCGGTATGCCTTTTAAAACAATAGTTTATTTCCTAGATTCGTGGAGTTTGCCTCTTCAATGAGTCTGTCCTTAAACTGGTAGTTTAAAAAGAATTAAATGAAAGTTGGATGAAACTAGACCACAGGTAATTTAATTCTAGAAGTTGATTGTTTATATTGGCTTCTGTAAATGCTGTTTATTCTAAAAGCACATTGGCTTGTAAAGAATAGTTTTAAAGCATTAGAGTAAGTTCCTTTTAACAATTTACAGGGAAATGACCCCCTTGAATTTATTGGGGGCTGCTTCCAACTAAATGTGTTTATGATCTCATAGGAGCCACCACCAAATCAGCTCCTGACATTATGAACAGCAGTTTTTCCATCCTATAAAATGTTTCAGGACCAGTATCTCATATACTATATAGCCTTTAGAAGAAGTGAGGTCTCACCATTTAACCACTGGAATGACACCCATGTAAGTTTCCTAACATTCCATGTAAGTTTCCTAACATTAGAATTGATTGTAGTAACTTCTAGAACTTCAGAAAACATTACACTTTAATTGTTTTTTAAAAGCTATTTTATTTCATAACCTCAGCACAGCCTCAAGACTCCCTTAGTTGAAAAGAAAACTAAGCACAGGTAGGACTGATGTAAAAGTGTTTTTAAGTCCATAGTGCTGGTAGGCTGTTAGGAATTGTGTGAGTTGAAGTCTTAAACACCTGGTTATCTACATCATGTGTGATGAGTTTGGAGATGGTGATCCTTAAAGTCATAGATGCAAAGAATCATAGAGTTGAAAGATACCCTATGGATCACCTGGTCCAATCTTATGCTAAATGAAGGCTCTCTAGCTGGGGCATCCACAGTAGGCAACTGTCCAATCTCTTTTTGATGACATCCAGAGAAGGAGCTCTTAAGCTGAGTACTAAGATGTTCAGGGTCTTATATGCCCAAAGATAATGCTTTGGGTGATAATTGGGTGGCCCCAGCATTCCTCACCATTGGCTGTGCTGGCTGGTATTGCAGTGCAGCTACATCTAGGGAACTATGCAATTGTCTCCATTGGCACATGGGACACCCACTAAACGGCCTAGCTGCCACTTTCTGCTCTAGCTGCAGCTCCCTCCCCCCCAAAAAAAAATCCCACCAGGGGCCCACACATTGCTTGTCCTGTTTTAAGATGGACAATGCAAGGATCACTGTGTGCCATATTAATGCTGTTATCCAGGAGTGGGCTAAACTAGTAGTAAGACTTATGTATCACTGAAGCCAGTTGGGCCTTTATTGATTAAAATTAATGCAAAAGCACTTTCAGACTAGTCACTTATACATAACAAAATCTGGATAATATGTCGGATAATACTGTGACTATAATATAGTCATTACATTTTTCTGAAATGAACCACTATTTTTAGTCTTTGTGTAGATTCAAGTCATTCCTATCCCTATTTATACATTGCTGAAAGCACTTACTTTGTGTCATAAAGAAGTGTTATGTGGAGCAAGCTTCAGAATAGATGCTTTGGTATGATTGTGATGAAGAAAAATACACAACACATCAGTCTGGTTTAAAGAGATATGAATTCTCTTGCTGTTGCTGTTTAGGTTTTACTGACTTATGGAGATTGTGGTTTCTTCCACATTTAAATATTTCTCTTTTTTTAAGGGATGGTATGTCAATCTGATCTTATGTTTTGAAGGGCAAATTATCTGTGGTTTTGTCTTTTCAAATAAATTTTAAATTGGTTCATTTTTTAACAAATATATGTTTTAACACAATTGCTTTCTAATTGTTTTTTAAACATTTTTATACGAATAAGTCATTATAATTGTACATGGTTTTAATTTGTTATAAGACACTTTGAATGCTGTGCTAAAAGAAAGGCGGGATAGGAAACAAGAATTATCTGATTTTTTAAAAAAAAAGAATCTTAGAGATTTGTGCAAAATTGCCATTTCACTGATGAATGGATACTTCATAATTTTTTTAAAAAAATTGAAAGCAAAAGAAAGAAAAGAGAAGTCATTTGTTGTTGATTGTAGTCTAATTTCCACTTGAACGTAGAAACAAAATATTGCCAGAAAAGAGTCTATTAGATAAGATTCTTCATTTGGATTTCATATATTTACATTTCATACACACACAAAAAAGAACTACAGCAAGAAATATCGCAACCTCCAGCAACCTCCTGACTAATTTACCTCATCCAGAAGCCCCTCCATTACACACACACACACACACACACACACACACACACACCGGTATGTCATAAATATAGGCGAATCATACCTGTAGATCGCATGCTAGTTTTTAATGCATGCTGCTGCATTGCCTGTGAGAAATTACATAATACAAAATGAATGTGTCTCTTTGCATCTCTCCAGTGTGCAGGGATTCTATGAGATGGCTGGTACTGAGGTGGAAAATCTCCTTGCGTAGCTGGAGGGGCAGTTTGAAGAGCTCTTTGATCTGTGAATAGTCTCATGGGGTTCAGGGAAAGGTTGCAGAGAGGGGCTGACTGGCCAGCCAGTCCTGATTTGGCACATTCCATAGTCGTTGGCAGCCAGAATTAACAATGGGTGAATCTCTCAGGGTTGCTTTTTCTGACAGTTGCTTTCTATTTAAGTTCAAATACTTTCATTTCCATTTATGGGGACAGGGAGCTGACTAGGATCCTACTGGTGCTCTAAATTGGTACTTTAAACAGCAACAAGAAATTAAAGATTACAGGAGTTGTAGCCACGAAGAAAGTAAGACCCTGAAAGAATGGTCTGCTCCAAGCTAGTAAATTTTGTCTATGTTCCTTCATTGCGGTTATTGTTGCCACTTATATCTCTTTTATATTTTTATCTGAGATACAAAGCATTACCCTTAAAAAAGTACACCAGAGTAATGGTTTTCAAAGATATAGCACCTTAAAAATTAACTGATTTATTCTACATACCCTTTGTGGATTTTTATTGAATTCTTCTGATGCACTTGTGGAGTTGATATCCACTCTCAGGTAACTAGCAGTTGCATATTTGTAGAGGTGGGATTACAGGATAATAGGAAACAAAATATGCAATTTGAGACAAGGCCATCAACCTTCAACAGTGGTGAATCTAGGACCTTATTCCATGTAAGTTCCCCCAATTTTCTCTCCATTTTTGAACACTGGCAAAACAGAATCCCGTAGAGGCCATCCCATGATGCACAGCCACTTCAGGTGGCTGCCCGTGGCAATCTGTCTTGCCAGCATACAAAAACAGAAGTGTTACCTGACTCTTGATTGAAGAAAGAGATGGAAGAGTGAGGGGAGGAGGAAGAAGCCAGAAAAAGGATATGGGACAGACCTTTCCGGAGTAAGATGTCCTCACTCTTCCAAATGCTTTTCCCCGCTTCCCTCCTGCCTGTAGGATAATGGCCCTAGTTTGTCAGGCTGGTTTTCACACAGTTCTGAGGCATCAAATCAATAAATCTGCTTACTGAGAATCAGTTCCCTTGAAGCCATAAACTTTATTGAGGAGAATTGTTTTGTTGGATGTGTTAAGTTTAATTTGTATGTAATTTGTATTAATTTGTATGTAAATCAGATCAGGTACATTTTTTTAGTATAACTCCAGCCATATAGAGAGAGGGGGGGGGGGGGCTTGGATAGCTATCAGTACTCGTGTTCAGATAATTGGATTTTGAAAAATTTGGCTTATTGTGGAAACAAGAATTGGGGAGAAAGCTTCAGTGGATCCACAATCCTTTTTTCCTATGACAACAGGAATGAATTTCCCTTCCTAGGGTTAGATTTCCTCTCACTTCGTGTTGTCTCACCCCCATTCTTAACTATGAGTCATATATAAGTCAGAGGTTTGTAACTTGGGGGCCGTCTGTATACAGTCAGCTTTCTATTTCCATGGAGCAGGCATGTAGCCGGGGGGGGAGGGCTTGAGGGGCTTCAGCCCCCCCCCCCCCCGAAATTCTCATGGTGGTTCGCGAAAAGGCCTTACTGGTGCATTATTTAAACTGTTATGTTTATTCATATCTTGATCTGATCACCATACTCAATATATCCCATATGCATGGGGGTATTGGGGTAATGATACAAAAGGTTTGCTAGGGTAGACCCTCTTTCACTCAGACTCAGCCCCCCCCCCCAACCCAAACCCCCTGAAAAAAACTCAGCCCCCCCCCAATTGAAATCCTGGCTACGGGCCTGCCATGGAGTGTGTATTTATGGATCCCACCATAGTTTAAAATATCCCCCTTCCCAAAATTACATAATTACTGACTCACAAAATTACTGTGATGGAAAAGTCAAGCCATTATTATTATTTCATTTATATCCCAATTCCCCCCCCCCCAAAAAAAATAGACTCAACATTAATAAGCCCTTCATATGCCCCCCCCCCACCAAAAAAATTATGAGACTGATTTGTTTAAGATGAATATTCATGTGTGCATAAAGTAATAAAATCCACCAACCATTGGATGATGGATAATAAGTGCTTGTCTTTCCAAACCTGCAGTATACGTCTTTTTTCATACTGTAAATGCAAACAGGATCCTACCATGTTGAGAACTGGCTAAGTTTAGAGGAAGTTTTTAGCTAGCACAGCATAAAATGGCAATTTCCCCAGTGAACAGGCTGGTAAAAAAGGATAACATCTTCTGTTTATTTTTCTTTGGAACATTCAGTTCACTTCACCTTCATCTAAGCTCCAACTTTTCCTATTAATTATTAGCAATGATATCACAGTAGCGCCTAAAGGACTTAACAGAGATTAGCACCCTATTGTCCTTGAGACAACATATAATAAGCCAAAGAGAAGGCAAGGGCAGAATCCAACCCCAGTAGGTTATTTCCTACTACTTTATCTACAAAACAGAGGAAACTTGATGTTCCTTGAAGAAATTAATAATCGTGTTTTAACTGCACTGCTGAAATAGAAAAAAATAGTAAATAATTTGACTTTATAAACATACCCAAAAGTGAAATATCAAAGATGGAGGCACACACATATTTCAAAAGCTAATATCTGAACTCAATTTCTGCATAGAAATCTGAGACCCACTATTTGGAGACTAAGACAGAATCCTGGGATGTCTGGGCTGTACTTAATAAGCATATTCAGGCATTTCAAAAACATGATATATGAAAGCCCAGAGTGGGTAATGTGTTTCTGTCACTGGGTGATGGTTCTGAAACTCTCCTGAAACCATTACCCAATGGAATGCACAGTTCTCATGGTTAACTTGTTATCTTGGTATTTGTGGGTCCACAGTAAGCATGGCTAAATTTAGATCTAATCATCTGGGCCAGGAAATCATTTTATTATTCACAGTTCTTCCTCACAACATTGATCTCTGGTTAAATCGTGGTTGTTTTAAATATCAGATGTGGACAAGGGACCTTATCACATTGAGATCTACTTGGTGAGTGGTAGCGGGTGGATTCCCCATGCAGCGTGGTTAACCCAGTGGGCAGTGGGGGCAAACTGTCAGAAACAGTGCAACACAGAATGCAACACAGTGCAACATGAAGGATGACCACGGTTTTAGCTATATGATTTTAGCAGCTTTTAACAGTTTATGTATTTGTATGCTTATTTTGTTGATGTTGAATATGCTGTATTTTATATATTTTGTATTGCAATTGTGGCACTGAAGTGACCAATCTGCAAGCCACGCTTGAGTCCCCTTCGGGGTGAAAGGAGCAGAATATGGGAAATAAATAAACATGGGAAATAAATAAACAAACAAATACCAAACAAGATTATTGTTATGTGATTAAGGAAAAAAGTTATATATAAAATCTTGAGCACATTAGTGTGTGTGTATGTATGTGTATGTGTATGTGTATGTGTGTGTGTGTATGTTGTTGTTCATTCGTTCAGTCGTCTCCGACTCTTCGTGACCTCATGGACCAGCCTACGCCAGAGCTCCCTGTCGGCCGTTACCACCCCCAGCTCCCTCAAGGTCAGTCCAGTCACTTCAAGGATGCCATCCATCCATCTTGCCCTTGGTCGGCCCCTCTTCCTTTTTCCTTCCATTTTCCCCAGCATAATTGTCTTCCCTAAGCTTTCCTGTCTCCTCATAATGTGGCCAAAGTACTTCAACTTTGTCTCTAATATCTTTCCCTCCAATGAGCAGTCGGGCTTTATTTCCTGGAGGATGGACTGGTTGGATCTTCTCGCAGTCCAAGGCACTCTCAGCACTTTCCTCCAACACCACAGCTCAAAAGCATCGATCTTCCTTCGCTCAGCCTTCCCTACGGTCCAGCTCTCACATCCGTAGGTGACTACAGGGAATACCATGGCTTTGACTATGCGGATCTTTGTTGCCAGTCTGATGTCTCTACTCTTCACTATTTTATCGAGACTGGACATTGCTCTCCTCCCAAGAAGTAAGCGTCTTCTGATTTCCTGGCTACAGTCTGCATCTGCAGTAATCTTTGCACCTAGAAATACAAAGTCTGTCACGGCCTCCACGGTTTCTCCTCTATTTTCCAGTTGTCAATCATTCTTGTTGCCATAATCTTGGTTTTTTTGACGTTTAGCTGCAACCCGGCTTTTGCGCTTTCTTCTTTCACCTTGATTAGAAGGCTCCTCAGCTCCTCCTCGCTTTCGGCCATCAGAGTGTTGTCATCTGCATATCTGAGGTTGTTAATGTTTCTTCCAGCAATTTTCACCCCAGCTTTGCATTCATCCAGCCCCGCACATCGCATGATGTGTTCTGCATACAAGTTAAAAAGGTTGGGTGAGAGTATGCAGCCTTGCCGTACGCCTTTCCCAATCTTGAACCAGTCTGTTGTTCCGTGGTCAGTTCTGACTGTTGCTACTTGGTCCTTGTACAGATTTCTCAGGAGAGAGACAAGGTGGCTTGGGATGCCCATCCCACTAAGAACTTGCCACAATTTATTATGATCCACACAGTCAAAGGCTTTAGAATAGTCAATGAAGCAGAAGTAGATGTTTTTCTGAAACTCCTGCCTTTCTCCATTATCCAGCGGATATTGGCAATTTGGTCTCTCGTTCCTCTACCTTTTCTAAACCCAGCTTGAACATCTGGCAACTCTCGCTCCATGTATTGCTGGGGTCTTCCTTGCAGGATCTTGAGCATTACCTTACTGGCATGAGAAATAAGGGCCACTGTACGGAAGTTTGAGCAGTCTTTCGCATTTCCCTTTTTTGGTATGGGGATATAAGTTGATTTTTTCCAGTCTGATGGCCATTCTTGTGTTTTCCATATTTGCTGGCATATGGCATGCATCACCTTGACAGCATCATCTTTAAGATTTTAAACAGTTCAGCTGGGATCCCGTCATCTCCTGCTGCCTTGTTGTTAGCAATGCTTCTTAAGGCCCGATTCAACCTCACTCCTCAGGATGTCTGGTTCTAATTCATTCACCACACCGCC